AGCTTCTCTCTCTTAAAATATAAGTTATTATTATTTTAAGATGAAATTTAATTAAAAAGTGTTATTATACTAAAATAAAGTGAATAATTGTCTACGAGTAATTTGCAAGGACTGTGGTTAATAATGTTAAATAAGTGCCACGTAAGATGTGACTGTATAAACATTAAATAATTAGATTTATCTAAAAATATATATACATAAAGGCAAAGAGTAACGTGCAGTATGCCTAAAAGAATTTTTTTTTTTTTAACAGATTACATTTGGGATGGAGGGATTTGAATTCCAATCTTTAAACTAAAGGATAAATCTTAGAACTCAACTTATAACTTTTGGATTGTAAGTCAAGTGCGTCTAAAAAAAAATTACTTCACATTGTGTATGGAAAATTATTTTCATATAATTTTATTTGTTTTATTTTTTTTATAATTTAACATGTCATTTAAATAATTAATTTTTTTAATTTATATAAAACTTATAATATTAAATGTTTTTATTCATTTTAATGACATGTAAAAATTATATCAAAAAATAATATAAAAAAATTATCTCTAAAACACTACCTCAGTGAGTATTTAAAGTTGACTTATAATGATTGGGAAGAAGGTTGACCGGGGACATGGTGCGAAAATGCTGGTTCATGAAACAACCTTTGCTGTCAAACAAGAAAAAACATGAAAAAACATGTCCTAACAGCTTCTGATACGTAGCCGCTCAAGAGTTGTTTGTGGCTCATATGTTGAGTTTAGATAACCAAACATTTAGACCACAGATAATTTGAATGATTAAAAGGCTCTGAGTCTCTAACTAACTTCTTCTATTTGGCATTTTGGCCAACGACATCTATACTTGGACGGTCAACCATATCGCCAAACTAAGGTAGAGGAGGTAACAGCTGAGCTAACAACAATCTCAAAATGAGATCTTTTATCTCTTCTCAACCACACATCCCAGTCCCTATGCATTCAACGTCTATATAAGCCCAATCCCACGCTTTCTTTTCCTCACTCAAATCCAAAGTCATCTGCTTATTTAGTAAATACAATCTGTCCATTCTTTGAGATCTTTGATTAGGATGGCTTCTTGCATCAACTGCTTTACCCTGGCCTTCTTTATGGCTCTCACTTTTTCAAGCATGGATGTCAGCATGGCAGCTCGTCATCTCCTGCAGCAGTTGCCACAACCACAAATGCCACCACTGCCGACTCTGCCCACGGGGCTGCCGCCATTGCCATCAATCCCAACTCTACCACAACAGCCTACGATACCGACCATACCCACAAACCAACCATCTCTGCCTCTGCCTTCACTGCCCACGCCTGGTGCACTGCCTCCACTTCCCAGCTTCCCCTCATCCCTGCCTACCCTTCCCAAAGTCACTCTACCACCACTGCCCTCCATCTCTTCTATCCCTCTCCTCTCCCCTCCACCTGCAAATTAATTGAAAAACTGTCCTTGAAAATGTTGTCTTCTATCAGTCCCCTCTATGTGGAGACATTGTCTGGAGTATACTGGTTTTGATGTCTATGTTCATTTTCCACTGCATGCGTGATTGTTTGCCCAATTTGGAGTCTGTATGGTTCAGTGTAATATTTGAGACCGTTATATATGGGTTTTAGACTTGTCATTGTGGCAATTATTATGTTTAAGTTCATTAACTCTTGCTTTTCAAAAAAAAAAAAAAAAGTTCTATGAACTCTCTCTTTGCAATTTTGCATCGATGAACATATGTACTTATAGATGGATTATCTGATGTCTCAAAATTTACATCAAGATATAAAAAAAAGTATGAATACGTGATGTATAATTGATGAACAAATTGTCTAATTAAGATGGTTTCCTTTTCATACAGTACTTAATTATCAACTTTTATTACAATATTTTTTTAATCACTTTTCTAATAAAACTTTTCTTTGTAAAAACAAGCCTTAAATTAGAGATTTTTCGTTTGAATTTTTAAAGTAGGTAAAAAGAAGTTACGGGATGAGAAGTTTTATCTCTTCTTGTATATTCTAATCATTTAATATATGTATAACAGAAAGAAAATTTTGGAATTAGAGTTGTCCTTCTACTATGGGAAATAGTATAATCGAATCCCTTTGTAAGTAACACAAGAATCAATAGAATAAGTACTAAAGCTTAATAAACACATGTACCATTAAGATAAGCAAATAAATAAACATAGGCAAAAGGGTATTTTAACTCATGTACTTTTTAATATTATCGAAATCAACCCTCCAACTTTTTCTTGAAATAATTGAACTCCACGACTTCCATATTGAAATAAATCAATCCATGTATTTTTTGGTTAGAATAAATTAGTTCAAATTTAATATGTAACATCATGAAATGTTAGTTTAACGTGAAACTTAACTATTTTCAATCAGGTGCGTGGAAGTTCTGGTCGGAAATCTACAACCAGAAATCGCGAAGCTCATCTTTTGTTATTCTCGCAATCTTTTGTTTCCTTGTCCTCGCCAATGCATCAAAAATCCCTACCGCAAACTCCATCCAATCCACAATTCCTTCATTCAAAACATCAAAAACGCTGAATAATTTTCTTTTATTTTAGCTGTTGCCGAACAGAGTGCGTCTGCCGAACCTGACCAGCGCTTCTCGTTCAAGACAGAGACGACTAAGTATAAATAAAAATTAGGAAAAAAAAAAAAAACTCACAAGTTGCAGACAGCGATGGCATTGAATTCGGAGAAATCCTAACGCCTCTCCTGCTGTTTTTTGTTTTTTGTTTTTTTTTTTTTT